TTTTATGCAACCAATGGAGACAGCACATGTTAGGGACATAAATAGACAGTTGAAGTACAGAAACCTTGTGAGGGCCAGTCAGGAGTTAGATTTGACTGGATTTTCGTGAGCTGTAGCTCATGCTGGGAAAGTACAAGCGTTGCCTGGAGGAAAGTGGGAGGGGGGCGATAACATGCGACACAAAGTGAAGCCAATCTGTGCGGAGGGGACAACTGTCACGGATTTGATGAAGTATGAAAAGAAAGAAGACCACGAAACCGGCGAAATATCTTCTCTTTCCTGCCGGAACCGAGCGAGGCCATCTCGAAAACGACGTCCAATTCAATGTCCCATTCGAACGTAAAAACGTCAGAAGACTCGCCTCGAGCCAATCTCAACATCACACCCTTTCACACGAAGCAACATTCCAGTAAAAACAATTTATCGTAACGAAAGAATTAGGCTATTCTTTTTGTCATAAATAAATATAATGTACAATCAGTTGATTGACAAATCATGTTTTATGGAGGTGAGCGAAAGAGTGGGCTTCCATGCGTGATTTAAGCTCATCTTCAATGATCTGGACTGATTCGGCCTTTTGTTCAAGAAATGCTGCTAGCCTCTAGACCTACTTTCGGTGAATGTAAGTAATATCTACGCGTTTGAAGAAAATTACTCCACTCTGCCTTTTTAAATTTCTCTTTTATAAAATTTAGCCTTTTTAATTATATCAACTGTGCTCACTTTGCCTGCCCTACTGCCGATCTCCGTCCATTGTGCATTTCGGCATTTTGCACCCACACACACACACACACACACACACACAACGTGTTTGTCTAGATCGCCCTCGACTACATCGCCTGGCTTTCTCGGATGGTTGACGACTGTCCGTCTGTAGAGGCGATAGGGTTCCGGCCAGCCGGGAAGGCTCCATTCGAGGGAACACAATTGGACGGTCAAGTGGGACTCTGCGTCGGCCCAATCACGGAGCCGGATTCCGCCTCGGGTCTGGGTCCGAGCCCCGTCTCGGACGAGGGCCACTTGCACTGCCCGTCCGGACAGCCGCTTTTCCCCACCGCCTACGCGGATTCCGTCAGCTCCTCGTGTCCCTCGGTCGGCTCGGCCATTCCCACTCCGCTGCCCTGTTGGCCGACCGCCGGCTCCCTGCCCGAGGACGAGGCGACCGGTCGGCCCGACTGCCCGGCAGGCGGCACGCCGATTGGCCGCACAGACGCCTCGGCCTCCATCCTCCCTTGGGCTCTTGTACCCCACCCGTCAGCCCAAGCGGCCGTCCGGACGCGCCCCCCCAGCCCCTGCTTTGATCTGTTCTTCGGCGAGA